GAAGGTGTAGGGTCGAAGCCCACGCATCAAAAAAAAAACTTTCCAGATTGTTGTACTCCCCATTAAATAAGCAATAAGCTTCGTTTTGATGCTTAAAAAGTTTTTTTTGATGCGCTGGGCGTATGTTTTTTTTGATGCTTATAAAGTTTTTTTTTGATGCCTCACCCCAATGTTGGGGACTGAACCCTAAACCCTGAAGGGTTTGAGGCCTTAATTACTCTGAGGGCCGCAGGAGCTAGCCTCCCCTTGATAGCTCTCACTATAACCTTCTTCTAACCCCTCGTAAGTGGCCCTCCAAACCCAACCCTGAATCCAAAACTCTAAAGCGCCCTGGATCACGCAACAAGCCATCGCGTAACAAGCCCAAAGTGGCTTAGGCAAAAGGTCTTCCATGCATGGAATTCTTAGGGAGGCAGTTTCCCCAAGAGCCCCGCAGAACCCTAGCGATTTAGGGTTTAGGGTTTGGGGCTATGTACGGATGCCAAGTCCCTTAACTGCAGGAGGGGGCGTTCCATAATGGCTGGCTCCACAGGCAAAGCAGCGACTCTGTCAGAGCCTCTAGGTTTAGGGATTGGGGTTCAGGCAGCGTCTACCTAGACCCCCAAAGTATGTAGAATAATGGCCTTTTGGGCTATATTTTGGGGTTTTGGGCTATAATTTTACCTACTTTGGGGGTTTAGGTAGGGTTCAGTATGCAGTTAGGCTGTGGGCTTAAGGTTCATGGCCCAGGTCGTCATAGCATGCAGCCATCGTAAGTGTGAGGTAGGTTTTATCACCGGGTTTTAGTGACCAAATATTCGGGCTCCTTAGGAATGCGCATTGGCCGTCTATTTGAGGGGAGCATGCATGAAACTTCTACCATCTGTCATCATCATCATCATCATCATCAGCGCCGTCAGCCCGATCATTTCTCACACTAAGACTAGGATGGTGGCGTGCGTTTCTTTGATCGAAGCCACGGGTCCTCTTCTTTGAACCCCCCATAACAAGTAACTTGACATGTAATATTGGAAGTCCCTACCTAAATCCCCAAAGTAGGTAAAATAATGGCCCACAACCCCTAAATATAGCCCAAAAGGCCATTATTCTACATACTTTGGGGGTCCAAAACCCTAAACCCTAAACCCTAAATAATATGGTAGTTTCCATTTTCTTTTCCATTCTCCAGGTAGTGTTGAGGATGAAGCATACGTCTGGCAGGGTTTGCAGGGATTTTGGATCGGGCTGCCCAACTCCTGATTCCTTGGGTTAGGCCCCAACCCACTAATAGTGGTATAGTAGGAATATACAGGGACCTTAACAGAATTACCATTATCCATTCTGGTCACTATTAGTGGGCGGGGGCCCAACCTAATTGATTCCTACTTCTTCATCATGAACTTGCTATGAGCGGGAGGATATCTAAGCTGGGGCTCTCAGTGTCGCTTGCTAGCGTGAGCTCCATATGGAAAACGATCCAGGAGCTGAATTCGTGTACTAAAACCCAACTCCTAGAACTTAAGAATGCAACACTGGAGGGAGGGCTGCATGAACAAAGGGAGGATAAGTAGCCGCCCTCAGCCCTACCTGAACCCCCCAAAATAGGTGAAATGATAGCCCAAAACATTTGAAAGTAGCCCAAAAGGCCATTATTCTACATAGGTTTGGGGTTCAGTTAAAACCCTTCACTCCTAAGTCCAACGCCTGGAAGGGCCAGTCAAGCGTGGCGTCACCTGCAGCAGCTGCGGACTGCAGCGGGTTCGAATGCCCACAAGCTGGAGCATGTGCCTTCGCTTTGACTTACCCTAAACCCTAATCCCTAAACCGTAAACCCTAAACCCTAAGCCCTAAACCCTTAGACCCCACCCCGTTTTGTGGGGGATCTGTTTTTGTAATTATGAGCCATCAAGTCTGGTAGCCTGAAGAAGGCGTAGTTAGGGTTTGGGTATGGTCTGGTCCAGGATGGATATAGAGGGTTTAGGGCGTTTAGGGCGTAGGGTTCTTGAGGTCATCGGATTTCGGGCTTAGGTTTTGTGGTTGCTCGGCTTGTTTTTTTCAGGTTTACGTCCTTGCTTGGTTCTTGGGCTTTGACTTCTAGAGCCTCGGTATAGGTAATACTCATTCTTGAAGTTTTGGGTTTAGGGTACTTTCTACAGAGCCCAACTACCCACAGACAGCACTTACATATACACATGCACACATTCAAGGGTAATTGGGGGTCCTGGTCCCTAAACGCTAAACTGAAAACCCTAAATCGCGATTCATACTTGCTGGTGAGTCCATGCTCTCCCTAAACCCTCAATCCTAAACCCTAAACCTCTAGGGTGCATGGACCCAGAAGTACACCTGATGAAAATGCAATTGGAGGCTGCTGCAGGAGGTTGGGGCCCTACAAGGTGGCTAAGCCCCTGGAGGTGGGCGCTCCGCCTGTGTGGGGCCCATCATCTAAACCCTAAAAACCTGCAAACTCCAAGCCCTAAAGCCTCAAGCGGCAGTAAGAAGCGTTCAGCTTCGAGGCAAGGATGGCAATCTCCCCTGACGCCTGGGTTTAGGGTTCTGGGTTAAGGTTTAGGGTTTAGGGGTTTAGGGTCTAGGGGGGTGGGGGTGTGGGGATTTGAGGTTGGAGTTACGGTTTATGGTTTTGTGGGTGTTGGGTTTAATGTTTGGGCTTTGGGGAGTTTAGGGTTCAGGGTTTGGGGCCTAGACCCAAAAGACCATGAGGTGTTGTATAACCGATCTTCATATGACTTCCTAAAACGGAGGCTTGTTTAGGACTCTTCAGGGATCAATATTTTCAGGTTTTGAAGCGCTTGCAGTCACAGTTTGTGGGTGTGGCGCAGTTGGACAAGGTGCCAGAATACAATCGGCTCAAAGACCTCGGCCTCCACATCCGGCCCGCAGGGTGCGCCCTTGCCGTGAAGCCCACAAAGAAGAAGCAGCGGGCCTGCAGGCAGCAGGCTCTTCTCATCATCATGAAATTGCTTTTGGAGGCGCACTTGGAGTCGAACCCAAAAGACAACCTCGCCAATGGTTGTGTGCATCTGCTGTCTGCAGTACGAAGGAATGATCTTCCAGATGGCGATCACACCTTACTCTCAAACTAACATGGAGCCCCAACAAAGGGTATTGTCAAGACAGCATTTGTCCTTTTGAAAGGAGTCTTCATGGGTTTTATGTCGTTGTGGCGAAAGGTGTGAAAAGGTGATCCAGAGCAAAATATTCAATGGGCTTTTTGCTACGCCCTCCATCCTTACCCCCAAAATAATTGAGGGCTCAGGCCCATACAACCTTATTCCAGGTAGTAGATACCAGGGTGTGACATGACTCTAGGCCCTAAACCCGGAGCCTAAAACCCTATCACCCTTAACCCCATCATAAGTCCCCCAAGGCCTAAACCGTGCGCATTGCTTCCTGTGAGGTATGATTGTGGCTTTTACTGCCAGCCCTGTTGGGAGGCTGGGTCCCAGACTTGCTGGTGGTTAGCCGGGAAGGAAGCATAATGGAAAGAACAATGATAAAGGGGTATAATGGAAAATGGAAACTACTAGTTATAGGGCTTTGGGTTTAGAATTTCGGGGTATGATATTTCAGGGTTAGATTGGGGTTATATTGGGTGTGTAGGGTTTAGGTCGTTTAGGTTGTGGGCTTAGGGTTCAGGATTTAGGGTTTGGTGTTGTTAAAGCATGTTTTGTGAACGGAATGTTGCCAATGTTTTCTCCAGTTGTTTGTTTTTTGTACCTGGGGGTGGGGCGATATTCTTGCAAAACCCTAAACCCTAAACTCTAAACCTTAAACCTTAAATACTAAACCCTAAATCCTAAACCCCTAAAACCCTAAATCCTAAAGCCCTAAAGCAGACTTGGGCATGAGCCGGTCTAATCCTTTCTACAACTCCCCGTGAATCGACAAATACTTTGGCACCAATGTACACAGCTTAGGGTTTAGGGTTTGGGATTTAGCGTTTAGGGTTTAGGGTTGAAGGTTTAGGGCCTAGGGTTTGGGCACAGGTGAGTCCCCGATGTGAATTTTGAGCGAATGTATTAGCGCCTTAACGTAGCCCCCAGACCTTGAGAAGATCTACCTGGAAACAGCGGGTTTTGAGGCAACCCAGTAAATCCCGAGACTACTTGTCTGTTTTTCATTCTCCCAATCTAGCCACAATATAACCCTAATATCATCCCAATATAAACAACCCTAAACCCTAAAACCTAAGGAGGACTTAGGGGTGGGGGAGTAAATCAGGCCTCCGAAAGCCTGCCAATGAAAGCAGCACTGCAGGATTTTATGTTTTTCTTGGCGGGACCCTATAACTAAACCCTAGGAGGGGAGTAAGACCTATATAACCCCGACATGTACCCTATTATGTTATAGTAGTTTCCATTAAATCTTCCATTATCCCAATCTGTCCCCTCTATATCCCGTATGTATCCCTTATATAACCTCAATCTAACCACCCAAATACCATTAAACATGTTGGGTCTAGGGCTTTGGGTTTAGGGTTCAGCTTTAGGCTTCAGGTTCCGGATTGATGGTTTTCGGCTCGGGTTTTAGGTGTGGGGTGTAGGGGCATCACTTAACATACCCTATACTTCAGGAAGCGCGCTCTTACAGGGGTCCAAAGCGCAAATAAATACATACATTCAGCTTTTAGGGCTTAGGAGGGTTTAGGGGTTGGTGAGGCAAGAGTCTAGAGCCTCTCAAAGATATAGACATTAACTTGTGGTTGGGTGGAGACCCCAATCTGAAATGATAAGCGTCCGCTTGTGTGCGAGCTAACCCCATAACCTCATTCAGACCGTCTGTCTATGCTCAAGCATAACCTCAGTCCAAGCTACGCAATATTCCAGCAATTTGGGGCTGTCTCATCCGAGATTGTTGTCAAGAATTCTGTAGTGGAAGACTGCACAACCCCAATTTGAACATGACCGTTGGCTTCAAAATCCGTAGACTGGCTGTGCCGAATCCTCAAGCACCTGAAGCGCAAGTCTGACTACTTTTAAATCCTATTCCGTTGTAGTCCTTGCACAATTATAGTACAGCTTACCCCTAGAAGCCCAGTTACCTACTTATTGGGTTCCTGTTATACACTTATACTGTCTCTACCCCAAGAACCTACTATATGGGTACCTGGGCTTCTAGGGTACCCCAGAACCCAATGAAACTTGGTTAAGGCTCATACAGTGACAGCACCTCCCCTTCAGAAAGGACTTTGGTCTTTGTGAGCATCCCTAGGATCCAACTAGCCACATGTCGGCAATATTTACAGACTTTAGGGCCCAATGCAGGTATTATTTGTATACTTGGATCTCGAGTGTATTTTTCAAGATTTCATACTACTTTGGGATTTAACTTCGTGCGGAACTCTGACGCCTGAAGCGCTGAACTTCCATTCCCTGAACCCACAGCCTTAACTCCCAAGTAAGGATGGAGGACATCTTGCAGCACATGAGCTATAGTCTAAACTCCCTGAAGGTTGTTATGTAGAGGATAATATAGTAATAATAATAATAATCCTAATAGTAACAATAATAGTAATAGAAATAACAATTCTAATAGCCATAGTAATAGCAATGGTAATAGTAAGGGGAGTTTAGACTATAACTCGCTTGAGATGCCTGAGGTTCTGTGATTCCAACCCGTGGGTATGTTGAGTGTAGCTGTGGCAGGCATTCGAATGCAGCATCTGTGGCCACAAGGACCCCAAAGGAAATGATTTCAAGGCGAGGGGGCCAGGGTTTTGGGTTAAGGGCCATGGGGGAAGGGATAGGCTTAGACTTGAGGTTACACAGGCGTGGAAGTGGGCAGTACTTTGGTTGGTACTGCCTTTTGCGGAATCAGCATGGGTCATATTCGTCATGCTTCAACAGCCCATGCAACAGGGTTGCGCAAAGGTTGGCCTAAAGCCTCAGGCCAGGAAAGAGGAGGCGTAGGACGAACCCCATCCCTGCACCCTAAACCCTACTGTCTGAACCTTAAAACCCAATACCCGAATCCCAAGCCAAACCCATAACGTGAAACCCCAAACCTCTAACCCTGAACCTGAACCATACCATGTACAGTACGGCGTCTAAGGCTTAGGGTTGGAAAACAAAATTCGTTGCGTGGCTGGGTGTTCCCAACACCCTCAACTGGCTTAGTTTTGAACAGGTCTTTTGCTGTTAAAACCCGACAAGGAATGTCGTGCTAGAATTGCTTAGCCATATTCTAATAAGAAACCCATACCCTAAAAAACCAGCCATATCTCAACAAGAAACCCATACCCTAACGCCTAAACCCTAAACCAGTATAAGCTTGGTTTCCCTTAACCTTGCGAAATCTGGAGGCGGGGGTCTGACTATAGTCCTTAGGGTTTAGGGTTCAACAAAACGCCCCAAACAACGGTTCTAACAGGGGCGCAAGGACTAGAGTTCGACCCAGGAAGCATCCCCCCCCCCAAACCCTCAACCCTCAACCCTATCACCCAAAAAGCCGTTGCAATGGGGTTGTAAGGGCCCAAGCAAAATCATTCAGGGTTATTGGGGCCTGCTGAGACTTTTGCCCTTCAAGTTTCTGCAGGATCCTTTCCATGCGAGCCTGAAGATAGGGTTTCTGGTTTGGGGGGGTTGAGGAGTTTAGGGGTTTAGGGTTTAGAGGTTTAGGGGTTAGGGCTTAGGGGGTCAGGGGTTCAGGGGTTGAGGGTTTCGGGGTTTAGGGTTTAGGGGCGTAGGGTTGACGGGTATAGGGCTTAGGAGAACTATAGATCCCTTGCATCTTGCAACATAGGTTCCTAAACCTTATTACTCTTAGGGTTCCTCACGCAGCATTGTAGAGTGGGCCCACTCAAGACAGTGGCTACCGTCCGTTCAAAACCCGGCCCACATGGGGTTTAGGCCTGTTTGAAAGGGTGAATAATGAGCCCCATCATCCCTCAAGATGGCATTTATCTCCGCGGTCCCTCAAAGCCCAACCCTGAAACCACCAGTCTGAAGAGCAGAAACCTTAAATCCGACACCTTATACAACTTAAAACCCAAAACTTAAACCCTAAACCCCGAAGCCTAGACCCTAAACCAGAAACTGTGGCATTCCGAGGGCAACTGGAATTGCCGAGCCTGCCGCCACAAGAGGTTGGTCAAGGAGCTTGCCGGCCGGGTTCAGGGTTTAGGGTTTATACTTTCTTGGATCGATTGTTGGTTATACGCGGATATATGGGGTGTATGGAGTTTACAGAGCATAAGGGCCTGTAGGGATATTATGTAGGGTTTGGCATTTTCTTGGATGGTTTTTTGACTTAGAAAGTCTACCTACTATCCCCAAACAACCCCTATTATAAGAGCCGTAGCACTTGTTACCAAGCAGAGTGCTAAGTCAAGAAATCCTCCGCATAGTTATGGGTGGGGAAGTGGAAAGTGGAGCCTACAGGGTTGTTTAGGTATATATTGCCAGGCTGTCCCTCAAGAAACAGTAAGGCGATGCCTTTCATTGGCCCTTAGGTTGGGTTTAGAGTTTACCATTGAGGGTCCTAAACCCCAAACCTTAAACCCTAAAACCTAACAGGCTTCAGGGTTAGAGTTTAGGGCATGGCAGTTTTGGCGGCCGCAGGGTCTCGAAGGCCGAAGGCTTGTCAGACTTAATGGGTTTAGATTAGGAGGACCCTCCACCCTGTAATAGTAGTATAACAAGAATATAAGAGGACCCTTATATAATCCCTATTATCCCTTATAGTCACTATTCCTGGGTGGGGGGTCCACCTAAGGTTTAGAGATGTCTGGAGTGGTGTGTTTCCGTGCCTGTGTTAGAGTAGATAGGTCCCCATAAAACTTTCTAGCATATCAAGCTCTATCCTCTGCTAGAGAGTTTTTGGAGGGTCTGCCCTGTTTAGCGACCCTAGGAATCTATAGTCCCCCTTAGGTAGATGGAATCTGGGGTATAAGCGGATCATATTATGATATTGTGCAATTCCACATTCTATCTTTTTAAGGGAGACCATACCCTGACGAGCCCTCCTGCGGCAGGCCAGCCCCAAGCTGTCTAAAGCTAAAACCACAAGTCATGAATCGCTGCATTGGATACTGAAGATCCTGGTCTAGGGTTCAGGGGATTAGGGTCTTGCGTGACCTCACTATACTAAACTGCCATACTTCCCAGGGTTGAATACTGAGGGTCATGCAGGAGCTTTAGCATCACAAGTAGCATGGTCCTGGATCCTTCTACCTTATGCTGATGTAAATAAACTGTATACATATATATATATATATATGTATATTTGTGTAGATACACACCCTTAAGGGCCCGCAGAATGCCTCTAAGGCTATAAGGGCCCATAGTAACCGCTTGGAACTTTGGTGCTGCAGGAGAAAAACGTGCCCTCGCACGACACGCTCCAACGGCTGATCATCGAAGAAAGCGCAGAGCTCGAAGGCTGCTACTCCCTTCATGCGTTTAGGGTTTAGGGCTTAGGGTTTAGGTTATTGGGGTTATATTGGGATA